GCTATCTCAGAGTCAGTATACTTGACCCTGAATTAATCATCACTTTCAGCCTGCCTACCATGTTGCATTCTTTTCTCAGTGAATGATGTCACATTCATCTAGTAGCTCAAGCTAAAAACCTAAGCAATATTATTTAATCCTTATTCTCCTCACTTTCCACATTCAATTACTCCTTAAATGCTATTGATTTTCCCTCCAGAATATCTCACGAATCTATCCACTTCTCTCTACCCGCTCTGCCACTTCCCTAGTCCAGGCTATCAACAGATGAGTATGCCATTCTCTTTACAAGCCTCCCTGACACCTCCTCCCTACGAGTCACCAGTCCTCTCTACCCTACCTACCACCAATGGCCACATTGTTCTCTTTCTAAAATGGAAAATCTGATTCTGTCTTTCCCATCTTAAACGCTCTGATAGCGCTGTATATTACTTAATTTTAAAACATTACTTAAGACCCACAGTCATTAGGTTCTTTCATAATTCTGTAGCTTCTCATTCTAGATATGCTGGAACTATTTTCAGCTCACTGAACATGGCTTAGCATATATAATTTCCTTTTCCTGGGACAGTTTCTCCTTCCTTTTCTCAGCACTTATGCCTAGCATAACTAACTATCCTCAGTAATTGTTCTGCTGGCTAGTTATGTGTTTTAATGGATTTTTGGGGTGGGGAAGGAAATTTGCTTATTTAAACTGGTGTAATTTCTCTTATGATGGTTCTGAGCTAAAGTGATGAGAATATGGAGCTGGCTTGTCAGAGAACATGACTTGTTTTTTCATGGGCTAGAGATGGGCCCAGTAGATGGGATCAGATTATTCATTCAATTTATTAATACTGTAGATATTTACTAAGAACTTTTATGTATAGGAAACTGCTGTGCAGTGCTGTGGAGTGCTCAAAGATGAGGCAGTGTCCTGCAGAGAAAGGCTTTTTTTGGCTCACAGTTGTGGTGAGAAACATCACTGTCACTTGCCTGGAGTGATCTAGGTTGATAGACATATTCTGAGGTTCTATGTGATTATTTTTTTCCATTTTCTTTTAAAAAGAAATGAAGTAATTATCCTCTAGCAGTTGCTATGGGAACTGTTCTATAGAAGA